ATATTTTTTTCCAGTAATGGACACACCTGTCAACAGATGCAATATATTTGTATTACTGAGAGGAAGCAGATTCCATTATTTCTGGACTGTAATAGATGGCACTAACATTACGAAATGGTGATAAAGAACAATGATTAATTATTAGGACAGTAGACATGCAACTTAACAAAAACTTCAACCACTGTGAAATGTGATTGAGTTACCATCACGTCTGCTTTGTATTTGGCTGGTTATGGGTTAGTTTCTTGGCTTAAGAGACCAGGTAACCCAATGAGCATTTTCATGGATTTCTTTAGTCTCTATAGACAAATGCATGGACAGTAGCCTAAATTAGGCCTATAACTATTTCCAAATTCATCTTATACAGTCACTCTCTAATACAACATTATGTGACCTATGAAAGTGGAAAGCATTGTTAAATAAACTAAAAAGAAACAAATACTTGCAAAAGATATGGCTGATTGCATTGGCTCTATCAAAACTATTGACTTTTACACTTTATTTACAGACCATCAATTCCAGAATAAAATAAACACAAAACTTAAAAAAAAATCTTAAAGTTGATAAGAGACTTAAAAGCTAAAAAAGAAATAAGTACCATAAAACTGTGTGATTAACATTATAATTTCCTTTATTTTTGGTTTCAAACTTTAGCTATGGCTTGCACAAGTCATCTCACACAATTTTATCTGAAAACAAGTTACAAGCATGTAAATCAGAAAGAAATGTCAACAACTGTTGGAAAGAGTTTCATCCTATCGGAAAAAACAAACATTATTCTAAAAGCATACATAAAACACATTCATATTTATTGTCTTTTTAAGAAGAAAACTACCTCATTATGCAAAAACATAACCCCTCAGTACCATAGAATATATATGTGCAAAATGAGGCATTTTGAATAGCAAGGGGAATTCATAAAATTATTTTGGGGTGTGGGGGTGGGGGTGGGGGCTGAACACATTCTTTTAGGTGTCTGGAAAAAGATTCACCAAGTGAAGTTTGCTTCTAATATTCTTTCTGCATAATAAAATCGTAAACAAATAACATGACTTATCAAAGCTGAGCAAGTATATGAAGCAAACTCAACATGCAGAACAGTGACCATGACAAGCAGTGACTTCTTCCACATCCTATTGTCATCTGACTGTCTTATGGATCCATGGAATGTAAATAAATTATTATTATTAGTGAGGCCTTTTCATAGTCATGGGCATTCGTTCCAGAAACATACAATAAAAACAGTCTTAATGCTGTCTTGTTTTGGAATAAGACATAATTATTTATAATTTCACAAACTCTGGAAGGCTCTTCTTAACACAAGTCAAGCACATTTGCTATTACTATTTGGAATACCTTACATGCAAGAAATTTATGAACATGGCAAGACAAAGCCTATCCACTGTGTTAGACATAAACTGGGCATGTCAGTATAAAAGAATACCACAATGACACAATTTGAAACTAATGAGTACATACCTTGATGTGTTCAAGTGCAATTTGTATAAGGCATTTTCCAGAAGTGCTATGTGTAAGGCCAATGAGCTGAGATTCACATGAGCATAGTTGGTATTTGTTGTCAGAAGTGATCCCCAAAGCAGTGCTTCAGTTTTTACTAGCTCTTGAAGTAGAATTACTTTCTATCAATGAAAAAAGAAGTCACCGTCAAGAACCCTTTTATATGGACAGTTAATATTTCTTCTCTATAAAAAGAAATTCAAATAAAATTATATGATAACTATGGTCATTTCTATTGCTGTACACAACTTCTCAAAGACACTTTTAACTGTCCGTGGCACACACACACACACGTAATAAGTCCTCCATGTCCTACACAAACACATACTTTAAAAAACACGCCACTACCGGGCAGAAACTGGTTAGAACTGGTTCCCATATGACACTAGAAAACAAAAAAAGACAAGGGCGCACTCTGATGGGAAAATAATGAAGCTTGGGAACAGGTTAACAGAAACGAAAGGTACAGAATGACAAGGAAGGATACGTCACAACACACAATAAAGGTTAAGGTACTATCCCTGTATTTACTTGAAAGGGCAAATGGCAGTCTATGAAGCAAAAATTGTCTCCGAACATATAATGTGTACACCACCTTATAATTTCTGGATATAAACTAGTATTCATAACTGTAACATTACCCCTCATACAGCCCAACTCATATGTATCTTAGGGAATTTTCTGTTGCATAAAATAGATGCTGGAAACTGGGAATTTTAATATCAAGAAGAATTGTTTGTAGATAATAGAAAATAGAAAGAAAGACAGCAATGCAAGAAACAGTCAGTCATTTTTGATTACATTATTACAAGACAGCACACATACAATTATTTATATTAGATTAAACATCAAAGTAAATGCTCTGTAAAAGCACTGTCAATTGTGAGCAAAGCCTGAGTACATAAGCCTAATGAACTTACTGACGTTATTTATTACATGTGACTCAACCACAGCTAAGGTCTGGATGTTACATACCTTTGTGTTTATAACTGAGTAATTCCTCTCCAGAAGAATGTTGATTATTTGATAGAAGGCTTGTGCAGTTGCCAGAAATTCATCATTCTCTCCTGTGTAGTTCATGAATGACAGTACTTCCTGTAGCATATCTAGTACTGCCTCCCCTTCTCCAGGGTACAGCGATCAAGATACTCATGGCAGGCCTTCAAAGTTGCATTGCCAGAGGTCTTTTGGTATCCCAGGGTTAGACTGCGGAACTGAGAATAAATTAAAAATTTATAAATTTCACAGTTCACAGAAAAATAAAATAAAGTTCCCTCTGTGCCTAAGCACCTCAGTTAGGTCTAAAGGGTTTTAATGATGGTGTATTACATTCAACATTGTTGTTTTCTGGATTAAATCCATCATTCAGAGACTGGAATTAACTGCTTCTAGTAAACCCAACAAAGTAAGTTTTATCACCTGAAGACGGAGATACAGCCAGCCCCTTAAATGTCATGGCTTTATTTTATCATATTTAACAAATGGATTTAGTCCAGTCACTGCTTTCTCACCATGGAGGCACAGGTTCACTACTAGGGCTGTTCAAGTGGAATTTGTGGTGGACAAAGACATAGTTTTACCCCATTGTAACAATAAAAAACTATCAGCTACATATTGGCCATTTAACCTGTGGGAAAAGAGTCTCTAGTAACCATTTATTAGAGGCTGGATGGACTTCAGAGTTGATGACAAAGGGAGGAATCGGCCCCTACCAGAAACCAAACCTTACGCATTCAACCTGCAGCCAAACACTTTACTGACTGATCTATCCTGGCTTATGATATATTTTAAGTGAAATTCAAATTGCAAAACTGCATTTACAGAGATCCATTACTAACATGTACAATTTAGAGCAGAAAAATCAATTTCTGCCTGCTTTGATCTTTGATCATTTTTATGTTCATCATCATCATCATCATGAACGATTTAGGGTTTAGACCATATGTCCTGTTCTGCTGTGGATGTAAAATTTATACTGTTTGATGAAATTTCCCTGTGGAGAAGGATATTTAAATGCATTGTGCAGATCATCTTCAACAGAAATCCTGCTCTTTTTTAATTAAGTGGACCACTAAAATGTTCTTCTGTAGCTAAAAGCTTATTATTTCATATATTACATATTACCAAGTTTCAAACAACACTTGTTGTGTTATTCGGTAAGGTCTGCCATTATACAATATAATGATCACTAAAAACATATGTACACAAAATAGTATTTCACTCACAACTGATACACAGCAGCAACCCCTTCATCTTAAGTTAAGTAAGTATGTAAGACTTGAGGCACTAGTCCCCAACGCGATGCCCGCAGGCGCCATGGCGCCCGCCAAGGCCTTTTTCGGGTGCCCACGTTGTTACGGAAAGAGGTTATACTGAATAATGAAGGCTGTCCAACCATGAACATTATAAAATCAAAGCATTGATCTCGACTTACTGACTCCCATCTTGACGATTGTTTGCGAGCAGCAACATCATCCTACACAACCAAATTTGAAAAGCTGGCCGATGAAATGCAGCGCCAAACATCACACTTGAGTAATAATAATTGTACTTATGAAACTACCTATTTTTGATTGCATGGTTTCTTGTATCATTAAACGTCGTGTTGTTTTGAGTATTATTTCGTGTCCATAACTTATTTGTTCAAAAAAAGAAAATTTGGCTTTGTTAATTGGTTGGTGCCCGCCACGATCTCATAAATTATCAAATGTGCCCGTAGGCACAAAAAGGTTGGGGACCACTGACTTGAGGCTTTTGCGGCAACTAAATGAAATAAAATCTTCTCGGACAATAAGTCACAACAAAACGGAATCATAGTAGAATTTTTCAGAGAAACTCTCTGCAATCCATAATATAAATCCTTATTACTGATTATTCTGAAACATAAATACATAACTTCAAATGTTTACTAAGCTAACAATGGCATTCTTTCTACCTGAAACAGGTAAGATGGTTAGGTTAGGTTAGCATTTGAACTCACATTATTATGAATGTTTTCAATATCTTCAGATATGCAACTAGAGAAGTCAGGAAGATTCCACTTTGTAAAGAAGGTGTTACGCAGGGTACATCGGCGTCTTGTAACACCCAAATAGTGAAACGGACAATCTTGAACCGCATCCAGGTCTGGTGCAGTGTCGGGCCACTGAATTCCAAGCATTTTTTCTTCATGACACATGGGAACCACAGAGCGATTTACAACGTCCACATATACGCTCTTTGCCTCACTTGCTACACTCCCGTGTACTGTGCAAGTGTAGACTGCTGATTTCTGAAACACCCAATAAAAGATGGATTTCTAGAATTTAGAAATTGATTTATCAAACCAGGCAAGTTAAATGTTAGGATTTACTTCAGGAACTTAAAATGTCACTTTTCTAAATGTTTAAGTCTGCATCGTGAGGCTAGCAACAATTATAAGTCAATAATTATATAATTCTGTGAATTTTTTCCATTTCTACTGTTAACACATATAAAGTACGTATATAAAATCTGTAATAACATTTATGATCTACCTACATAAAGATTTTTACACTGCATAAATGTTTCCGACCAGATGTACAGTTAAATTTCAGAACTGAATATAAATTGTAAATGTTTTGATGATTGATTATTATATCAAATTTCAGGACCTACATTAAGATAAAGTAATTTTGTTTTAAATTTCATTACTTCAGACAGCTGCAAAAATGATAAAAAATTAAGAAGAAAGAAGATAAGGTAACCTCTCATAGTATGATATTTATACCAAGTTTAATTAAAATCTGTTAATTGGTTAAAAATTTAAGAAAATGCACATTACATCATAGTCCTCCCTTTCTATAAGGAGTTAGTTAGGCTAAAAAAGAGCTATATTCTTGTCATACCGCGCTCTTCAAACGTTCTTTTTTAACAATTCCAGGCTACATCAAATTGTCAAATATGATTAGCAGAATACTTTATATGCCATATGATTTTTCAGTTACATTTTGCCATTTTAAGTCTGAAACTACAAGCATGAAGAAAACGCAGTAGCATCTTTATGTTCAAAAAGCATCGAGGCAAAAAGAAGAGGAAACAAGAATTTAGATTAAAAATCACAAATTATAATCATTACATTTAGATGTACATTTTAATTCCTCCAAAATGATTATCTAAATGTTGTTTTAAACTAGTTGCGTCCTCATCTATTTATTTCAGTGAAAACAATTACAACTTACTTTAGCAGTATTACTTTACAAGTGCACATGAACTGAAAATGCTAGAGAAAATTTTAAGGTCTAATCCTCTGTTAGATGAACTAACAGGACGTAAATTACATGAATGTGAACTGTGATTTATACTGTTTTTGTAGTCCTGTTATGAGTAGGTGAAGAAAGAAATGACTAAACATATAACTCATGTTGGAGAATCAAGAAACGCACATGATTTCAGCAGTGAAGTCTCTTGGAAGTTGACACTTCAGAGATTATGACAGAGATGGAAAGATAACAATAAAACTAGACGAAAATAAGTCCCAGTCAAGTGGTATACACCGTGTCCCATAATGATCTTTACAACTTTAACACTTAACAACCAAATAATGAGATGAGATATCACAATGCGGTTTTGTGCATATGAAAGAGTAACTCTCAAAGTTTTTTCTTACTTTAATACACCTCTACGTGCGCAACGTTAGTTGCACGTAGCACGTCAAGACGAAATTCAATTTCTTGCCATGTTCGCTCTAGCATCCCTGCATCAAATGTTGCGATGGCTGCAATAATCCTTCGTCTCAGGCCTTCCAAATTGCAAACCTCTGTTCAGTACACAACATCCTTAACATATCCCCATAAAAAAGTCCAGAGGGGCTGTCGGGTGAACAAGGTGGCCAAGCAATTGGACCATCCCTTCCAATCCATCGATGAGGAAATTTTTCATTAAGGAAGTCACGGACAAAAAGTTCCCAGTGCGGGGGTGTACCATCCTGCTGGAAGATGATACGTTGCTGTAGGTCCTCCAAAAGCGGAGCAACAAAACCGCATTGTGATATCTCATCTCATTATTTGGTTATTAAGTGTTAAAGTTGTAAAGATAATTATGGGACATGGTGTATATTGAAAGGGTCACACTCAGCATTTAATAAATATGTCTGATGTGAAACTACAGACCTGAAATTACTTTTACAGTGTTTTGAACGCAAATCCGAGTTATGGGGAAAGAACTCCGGACCATATATGGTTGTTTTCCTTTCTCTTTTTAATGTAAATTACATAGGAAATGCATATTTAAACCTTCACACAAAACGACTGCTGGCCACAATTTAACTCCAGGATTAAAGGTTTAGCGCTACGCCAATGGACAGCACACAAACCACAGTGCATGATCAATAAGGATTAAGCTGTTAAAAGCAATGTGAAATTCAGACTGTGGCAGGAAATAATGATATTGAAAGCTGAAAGACGACTTTCTGAAAACTGCTGGTTTATTCATGGATTATTAGTGATGATGTTGCAACTGCATTCAGATTGTTATATTACAACAAATATGTTGGGAAGATTATAATCAAAGATGAGTAGTAAAGATCTGTTATGAAATAATACTAGGCAGCATTTGCCTAGGAAATGCGAAGAACATAATAAAACTCCAAAGCCAGGATAACCACAATCTAAACCCTGTTGTGGGTTTTCGCCGCCTCCTTTTCGTAGGTTTCTTGGTTTTGGTTGTGCATGAAGTAGTGAGTGACCAGCCCACCAACTGTGCACAATTTCTAGTCAATCCTGATTTGACTGCCAGAGCCATCTAGCAGTGAATCAGGAGAGACTTGGGTGAGAAATGGCCGCTGAATTTTGCTTTCGAAACATCTCGTATCATGCTCACGAGGTTCTTTTACATGCCGTAAATCTACGACATGGGACCGCCTAGCCACGATCTGATATCGCCCAGACACAAATCCAAACTATTAACGCTGCCGAAGTTAAAACACTACACCATTTAACTTAAATGGTGTAAATTATGGACGCACAGTTTGTGTGTATAAAATCAATACCAGCTTAACAAAGCAATAAATAATACTTTTAAATATTATTACTTCATACTTGTGCATTATAGATCTTGAGTATGCTTCCTGCAGGGTGCAGATCTTCCCACACCTCAACTCCTGGTACCATGCGAAGAAGGACCTTGTTCTTGGTCCAGTTGTACCCAAACTTCTCATGTCGTTGGTCATTTGGGGACATGCACTTTATGCTCACACCCTCACCCTAAAGGAAGCAAAACAAAGTAAGAAGCACCATAATGCATGTAATCTTAATGCCAATGAGAATAAAATGGGCAATAAATGCAAAAACCAACAGACGTATTAAACCGTAACGGCAGAAACTTAGGAAAGTAATCAGAAGCTAACAGGGATTTACAAAGAAAGCTGTACCCTCTCAACAGTGATGCTCTTTGGAATCACCTCCACCTCCGGCCGAACAAGAACTTCAAGACGGATAGATCTGCACTGCTGCATGTCCCAGTCTACCACCTGACAGGTGTAAACCCCTTCATCGAGATGAGAAGCACGTTCAATACCCAGCAGAGCTGTGTACTTGTCTTCGGAGTCCATCGGCAACAACTTGGTCCACATATTTCTGAAAATCGAAACAACATTCATGTGACTTGTAATAAAACATTTTAAAATAATTTTCACGTAGCGTAAAATCATTTAAATGGGTCGGTCTGAATCACAGCTGACTTCTCACTATAAAGGCTTGGGTTCATTATCAAAATAATTCAAGTGGATTATGTGCTATACAACATCATGTCAATTTTTATCTTAATATATCAGTTTTATGCTGTTAATCATCATTTCACAGGCACTGTATTTTATCATTGCTTCTGAGAGGAGATGCAGGCTAGAGGAGCCAATATCTATTACGATATCAAGTCATCAGTCGGAATCCACCTCTGAGCTCTTCTTATCTTTCTTATCCGTGGCGTAACAGCCCTCTGAGAGCCAAAGCCGACTAGCTGGCTGCTGTCCTCACGTTCACATGCCTAAGCAGAGGTGAACGATCATCCAACCAGATATAAGGTGACGTGCGGTCAGCACGACGAACCCCAGCCATTGACCTCTGAGCTCTTACTTGGCCAATAATGTGTAAAGTTAAACGAAAAAGAATTAAGAGCAGAACGACGCTGTGGCATATCAAATGACTGTTGTGGTCTGACTTTGACACTTGCAGACAGAAACTTTCACATATTGCAGTATCGTGTCCCGACATACTTCAAATTAGTATTATCTCAGTGCATTTCATGAAGTGTATCATTCAGTTTTATCGAGTAACGTGACAAAAAACTTTTACCTGAGAGTTTTATTCTTGTTGACAAATGCTCCATCTTTGTACCAACGGAACGTCATATAGGAAGACCCCTGAGCTATGCATGACAGGATGAACTCATCTCCCTCTTTCACTATCGGAACTTGGTGGTTCACTTTCACGCTCTGAAATACATCAATCACTTGTAATATATTCTACAACCATCTGTCTTACCACACATAAACCACAGATTATATAGATACGCCCTACACTACGTAGATTACTGTCAATTTTCATTCTGAGGATTTAATAATGTAATGACATCCATGAGAATAAGATAAACCACGCAGTCACTTCCCTTAATAAATCAAATAAGGCTTATTAACTCACCTGCAAAAGTAATGTTGGTTCTTGCTTGAATGCTAGGTGAGTTGGTACTAGTGTCAGGTTTCCCAGACGACCTCGTTTTATAAGATTGTTGAGCGCTTCTCGCACTTTGCCGCCATCCCTTTTCCCACCAAAGAAGTGAAACATAACTTCAGCTCCAGGGCTAGAATACAGAGAACTCACTGTAAGCTTAAGAATATTAAAATGCTGTGGTTATGTCTATATGTCATCAGATAAGATGGGAAAACGTTTGGAATTGGAAGGCGGTAGAGAATGAAGCAACTGGCGACAGGTCAGTCAGTGTCAGTGCCAGTATTCCAGAGGTTCCTAACAAACGCCCATTCAGGTTCTAGGTGTAAATATGAGCAACAGTTTGTTTACACCCAAACATGTCATAAAACACAATAAAAGAAATTGGTACGTGTTGGTTATCGGGACACAACACGGGAGAGTCGAATATCTGGCCTTGGATTGGACGGAAAACTGCGCATGCGTATCGTATACCCGTATACTCGGTTGTTCATGTGGCGGCGTACAAATGATAACGGCAATATTTTTAAAACGATTCTAAAATCTATAAGCGAATTTTGGGCTCCGGCGACAGGTTGTAACAACAATTAACAACTCATGCATATCTAAATAAAATATAATAATTTGTCATTTACTGAAATAAAATATAATAACTTTCAAGTATATGTCATTTATCCACACACATTAACCTAACCTAACCTAACCTAACGTATTTTTAAAGCGATGTGTCCCGATAACCCACAAGTACCAATAAATTAAAATGATTCCACTACCATCTTTTGAAGAGGAAACAGCTAAAGTGCTGAGGAAGACTTCCTCTTTTTTGTCCTCCCACACAACAGTTTACAAACATACTTTCTTCAACATCTTCACTGCCATAACAACCTCAGATCTCGTATTTATTTCATCTGACAACTTCCGTATCTCTTGCATCAAGACCGAACGTCACAGCTGAGTGATTTAAGTCTTGGCTGAGAGACAGTTTAAACTCACCGATAATATCCGTGGTTTTACTCGGTCCCCCAGTCAAAATGCCTGGATTGTACCTGAAGTTAGGCTACGACCAATATCCTTTTCGGTTCATTATTGGTCATGAATGATCTAAGAAACTGACAGCGCCGAAAAGTTAACAATAAATAAACAATTTACAACGTCCCCATACCACTAAGTAAGAACCTCTGCACTGTTTTGTGTTATGAACAGCAGCGGTGGGGGCAGGAACAGCATTAACGAGACGAAAGAAAAATGTTCACGGGCGACGATAATTAAGGTGTGTGGCGGGGGGGAAGGGGGAATGGCAGTCAGTGTGTAATGCCGGTCAGGCGCTTTTCTGATGAACGGAATCAGATAGATGCTTCAAGCTGGTGCTGACATCTAGTGCTTCATTCAGGGAAGTGCGAGAGCGAATCCCGCCATTTGCTTCCGGTACAGTTACCGAGATAGTTGCATGTGTCTGTTATGTGCTCCAGTGATATAACACACTTAACGTTATTGAATACTTCTATCTTAACAAATCTGTTAGAATTTGTACGTTCAAATGATTCAGACGTAAAATGCCTATTACTTACAAAGAGAAACATTTTATTCACTCATTATCTTATTTACTTTAGTGAGATCTTGTAGCTCAAATAGTAACCTTCATTACCCCTACGGGTGGGGAAAACCGGTCAAAACTACTTCTTCAGTTATCATTTCCTATAGAATTTTTGTTACGTTCAACGTATTTCATACTGCATACTTCAGAAGTAGGCCCTTCAGACTAAATGCCAGTTTATATAAAGTTTCAAATTTGCGTATACTTTTAGTTTTATCTAGCTTTTCTTTTAAGTGACCGCTACTTACCCATTCTTCCTTAAAATGTAACAACATGAAAATTAACAAGGATGCAATGAAGAATATAATAACGGAAATACACATAAATGATAAACAAAGGTGACAGTAATACAACGAAATTAAGATACGGAAAGTAATGAACAAAAATTAATAAAGTGTAGTTAAACAGTTAGTATTAGAAGGGATTTTGGGCTGTCTTCCGGGTTGTTGCGCCGTGTAGCCTGGCAAAAGTTTACCAGCGATTCAGAGGTACTTGCTCTCTCCATCATCAGGGCGATGGGTAAACCGTTTCAACGCGCGCCACTGACTGACTGACTGACTGACTGACTGACTGACTGACTGACTGACTGACTGACTGACTGACTGACTGACTGACTGACTGACTGACTGACTGACTGACTGACTGACTGACTGACTGACTGACTGACTGACTGACTGACTGACTGACTGACTGACTGACTGACTGACTTACTCATCGCCCTGATGATGGAGGCAGCAAGGACCTCTGAAACGTTCGTAAACTTCTACCAGATTACACGGCGTAACAACCCGGAAGACAGCCCAAAAATATTTGTACTTCGAAATCACTGTACAAATTGAAATCATTTACAATTTTAAATCGTAGCTTCATCAATATCAAAATATTTGCCATATTTTTACAGGACTATCCACTCCATTATTTTTCCCTTTTATGTCAAAACATATGGAACAAAAGGGCAGATATGGTGTGACATTATGACGTATATGATGTCTAAGAGATTGATGATCGTGTTGACGACAAACATGAGACTTTTTTGAAGGGTATGTCCCTTTTCACGTCACCTTTGCGACAAGACATGTTTTATTACAGCGGACAGGATGCCTATTAAATCAAGTAACATTACGTATAACTGGTTCTTTGTACCGTGGTCTGGTGGTCTAAGAGAATGGCGCAGGTTTTCCGATCAAGGCAACACTCCCCCCCCCCCCCCCCCCCATCCATTTTTGCCAGGTAGACAGGGACCAGGACGAAAACGTTACCGGGAAGCACACGCCACAGAAAGACACCGCTTTGCTGTACACTGCTTGAGATTTTCTATCCTAACATTAATATTCCGAAACAAAACAACACAAAAGATTTAATGACCTTTCAAGTAATTGGGGAGGTACTCACGTTATATTCAAGACTTTCAAGTCCTCCAGCTTCGATAAATTAGAACTTCTGAGATATTTTGCGATCTAGAAAGAAGAAAAAGATAAATTATTATGGTTATATTCGAGACACTAATATGTATAACAAAATAGATAATACTTGGAAGATGGCTGTCTTCTGGATTGTTTCGCCATGTAGTCTGGTAGAAGTTTAGCAACGTTTCAGAGGTCCTTGCTGCCTCCTTCATCAACAACCCAAAAGACGCCCATCTTCAAATCGTACTTGATAATATTTTCCGTGTCCGACATTTCAATCCGTAATCTCAAAATGCCGCCACTTAATTGCACAACACAGTTCACAAGTGACAAATTCCCTACATTTTCACAAATATTCCGAGTCTCTGTCAAGCAACGTCTGAAAGCAACACGACGGAGGTTTCCAGTCATGGTCGCCGAGGCAGTAAATTCAACATATGACATGTATAAAACCAGGAACATAAATTCTTGATCCATTTGTGGGATTTGTGTATCTTATTAGATAATACGCTGATTCACTGCAAATACAGACTTTTTTCCGTTTCCTTAAACATAACTTAATTTATTAACTAAGTAGATAGCTACATATCAAAATAATCCGAAAGACCAACTCCGCTAATTAAGCCTATAATTGAGAACGATTCAGAGCCAGTTCCATCCATCTCTCACCCTGGTAACCTATTTCTGTAAGATCCATCCTTACTATCTTCCCACTTCATTCTAATTTTTCAACATCGAAAAATATTTCAATATTTTTTGATAAGATTATTTTTATTCAACGAATTTTACTATGGACCGTTTTCGAGACAAATTATACAAATATATTCTAGTTTAAAGGTGAGAGGATTTATACTGGATCAGTATGGATCGCGGACATTTAGTGCATCAAATTAAAACTCGTCTGACAACTACCATTATTCTATAGCCCAACACCAAATTTCATAGGGGTCTTCAGTAGGTAGGCAAATGTACAGGACAGACAGGCAAAATACTCAGTCTTTAAGCGCGTCGTGCAAACAATGCATAAAAACTGGAACTAGTTCAGATTCTTTTAAACTTTTGCTCTTTGTTCTTCGTATAATAACGGCAGGAAATAATAGGCGTACAGAATTCGATCGCGGAAAATCTCCGAAGAAATTACACCACACTATAATGCTAAAAAAGTATGGCAGGCTTACACAGTGTTTAGTTTTCTGTACTGCGTCGAACAACTCAAAGAACGTCGATGAAATCTTATCGGACAAGAAGCCGTGTCAGTTGACAAAGCACTACGTTTCGGAGACCATCTCCGCCTCCATCATCAGTGGAATGTTCAAGATTTTATCCGTAGCGTAAAAGTATTCATTTAGCGCTTTCTGTGCCTTAAAGTAAAAGAATGAGACTGCTGAAATGGGTATTGAACGGAATGTCTGAAAATTCCTTGGAATATATTTTATGAACTGAAATGGAGACATTTCACTGAAAAAATTGAAGAACCTTGCATTCTTAACATTTATAGCAAGATGTCCTGGAATTAATGGATCAATACCTTATCATAATTCTGAGACAAGTTTACAAATATTACTTTCGGCAATGTTCCAAAAGTGGAAAGGAGCCGACATAAGTTATTCTCTCAGCTATCCTCCAAACTATTTCATCACTGACATTTAAATGAAGTTCCAAACAGACCAACATGACGCAGTAAACATTTCAAATGTTCCTACAGCTATCCGAACCGAACGTCGGGACCGTATGGTTAGCACACCTGCCTGACTCGAATCTGGGCCCGGAGTATGGCTATACTGACAGAGTTCTCGCGATTTTCCTCAGTCCCTCCAGACAACTGCTGGAATAGGACGTGAAATCAGGCCACGACCACTTTCTTTACAATTCATTTTACATTCCATCATTCGACGCTATGTAGTCTGAGCTACTTCCAGCGTCATTTAACCATAAATAACCACATAAACAAATAATCAACAAATAAGATCTTTCCTTATTTTAGACTCTGGGAATAGAAGGCAGACAAAATACGACCAAATCCAATGGTCTAATACTGCGTCCTTATTCGTCAAACGCCACACACTCGGAAGTAAATTAAATAACGAACTGCTAGGGCCATAAAAGAAAAATTGAAGACAGTTTTCAACGTGAGAAGAAAAGGAGACGGGGAAGGTAACAGACCTTGTTAATTCAATTTCACTAACGGGGTGAGGCAGGCAAAGGTGAAATCTGACAAACGCGATTGCGTGTAAAACCGTCTGGAACTTCATTTTCTTAATGTCTTCACTTCTTTTTCTTCGTTTTTCTTTCTTTCAGATTCTCTTAGCCACTTTCCTGCCACTGCATTGAAATGTCGAGTCTATAAGGGTTTCATACTGTTATGTCTTGTAGATGTGGGACAGATATTCGTTTTTCAATTCCCACTTCGAAGATAAGTAAACTGAGGTATTCTAACGGAAAACAGCTATACGTAATAGAATGGGTAGAACACTTAGAATGATCTACGCTGATTGGATCCTCGAATTTCTACACAGAAGACTAGGGCTACACGGATAGAAGTGAGGCGGGCTTCTGGCGCGACAAGAAAACGAGGCAGATCGAATGGGACAGGGAACAGAGGCATTCTATTGGTTCTCTTGGTACCGATCTGTCATCCTATTTCGTAAAGCGTCAGTTTACTTCACCATGCCGCCGTTAAACAGCAAAAGCGCCAAAAATACTGAACTCGGTATGACATACCTACACTAAAATTTGTACAATATTTTTGGTTTAGGGCAACTGTATTTAAGGGGCTAAATTAAATTTTACGTACATATTTTGAGTCACTAAACAAATTTAGTTGAAACTAGACGTAATCAACTCCTGTTAGATGAGTGATTTCCATGCGTATTACTACATTGTAAGATCATTTTTACAAAGACTCACCACTAAACCCTATCTTAAGTCAACCGAATCCACTGTATCACCTAACACTCAAAGACAAATTTTAATATTATACTCTCCAGCGTCATTTAACCATAAATAACCACATAAACAAATAATCAACAAATAAGATCTTTCCTTATTTTAGACTCTGGGAATAGAAGGCAGACAAAATACGACCAAATCCAATGGTCTAATACTGCGTCCTTATTCGTCAAACGCCACACACTCGGAAGTAAATTAAATAACGAACTGCTAGGGCCATAAAAGAAAAATTGAAGACAGTTTTCAACGTGAGAAGAAAAGGAGACGGGGAAGGTAACAGACCTTGTTAATTCAATTTCACTAACGGGGTGAGGCAGGCAAAGGTGAAATCTGACAAACGCGATTGCGTGTAAAACCGTCTGGAACTTCATTTTCTTAATGTCTTCACTTCTTTTTCTTCGTTTTTCTTTCTTTCAGATTCTCTTAGCCACTTTCCTGCCACTGCATTGAAATGTCGAGTCTATAAGGGTTTCATACTGTTATGTCTTGTAGATGTGGGACAGATATTCGTTTTTCAATTCCCACTTCGAAGATAAGTAAACTGAGGTATTCTAACGGAAAACAGCTATACGTAATAGAATGGGTAGAACACTTAGAATGATCTACGCTGATTGGATCCTCGAATTTCTACACAGAAGACTAGGGCTACACGGATAGAAGTGAGGCGGGCTTCTGGCGCGACAAGAAAACGAGGCAGATCGAATGGGACAGGGAACAGAGGCATTCTATTGGTTCTCTTGGTACCGATCTGTCATCCTATTTCGTAAAGCGTCAGTTTACTTCACCATGCCGCCGTTAAACAGCAAAAGCGCCAAAAATACTGAACTCGGTATGACATACCTACACTAAAATTTGTACAATATTTTTGGTTTAGGGCAACTGTATTTAAGGGGCTAAATTAAATTTTACGTACATATTTTGAGTCACTAAACAAATTTAGTTGAAACTAGACGTAATCAACTCCTGTTAGATGAGTGATTTCCATGCGTATTACTACATTGTAAGATCATTTTTACAAAGACTCACCACTAAACCCTATCTTAAGTCAACCGAATCCACTGTATCACCTAACACTCAAAGACAAATTTTAATATTATACTCCATCTACGTCTAATGCTCCAGACTAGTTCATACGCTTGAGTTAATCTGACCATGATATATATCTCGTCCACTACAGTTGTCATTATACAGTTATGTCTATATTCCATTCTTTATCCCCTAATTCCATTGCTCTAAATTTTATCCTTATTTAGCTCTCATACAAAACATCGATTTCCGTTCTTCCATTCCACTGAAAGGTAAATTTGACGCTCGTATCAGATAAACTGTAAAATTACGGTTTTGTCATCTTTATTATTCAAATTTCTAGATGGGACACTGAAGGATAAGGTATGAACAGAATGGTATAAGCATTTCCGAAATTAATGCGCTCTTAATTTTCTCGTCAATATAATATCATATAATATTAGCATAAGGCTTTCTGATATGGAGAGAAATCAATTGTATTGTTACATATGTCACGACATTGTTATAGGTATTGTCCAAGCTCCCGCGACGCCCTGTCGCGTCGCATAGCGAATGTCTAGTTGACTTAGGCCGGGCGCAAACGGAGCCTCTAGTGGCTAAACACGACCACTAGTGGTCGCCACTTTATGCAGACATTTTCCCCAACCGCGCGTCAGTAGCACAATGGACTCCGATATGGAAGCATTGGTCGCAATACTAATAATACGACAACCCACGACCTCCTGTTTCCGCGTCTGCAAGCATGCAAACGAAACAAATTTTATTTCTCACCTGAAAGGGCCGCATTTGTCTCTTCTTGTTCACGAAAACTGAGTAGCTGTCGACCGCAGTCTATTTTAATACGATTATTTCAACTACGGAATGGAAATACCACAAAACAAAGATTGGCTCATTTAAGGTTCACCAAGTGAATCCGCTGGGTCTACATCATAAAACGGAAATACGAGCGCTGATCTAACTACGCGTCTGAAATATTTGTGGTTATTTCTATACGTACGCGTGACCTGAGGTTCTCGCGGCTGTGCATAAGTTTATGTTTATCTCGGTGTGGACAGTTTCAGCCCTCGAGAGAGAGA